AAGAAAATATAGCAATTTAGTATGTTAAGTAATTGCTGTAAAGATTTGTCAGCAAAGCTGAAAGGACGTAGCTAGTATTTTATATCCAAATATGCAATGGGACATTTCTATCTATAATTTATTCATATGAAGTAATGAATAAATTTAATATGAAAAACAGTGCTGTGCAATATAGTACATGTCTTAATTTTTATTTTTAAGGTTTTTCCATCCCATATTTTTAATTTTTATATTTTAATCACTCCCCAATCTCTTTTTATATACCCCCTACTTTCCTACCTTTCTAACTTCATGTTCTTTTCTCTGTTTCTATTTTTAAATTCTTATTGGTTACAGTTTGTATTGGCCAACTACTCCTGTATACGGAGCTTGCCCTGAACCATGATTAATATACCAGTGAGTCATTCCATTAAAGAAAACTGTCTCTCCCAACTTGGCAATGCTAGATAAAGATTTTGATGTTTTTTTACTTTATCTTGTAAGTATTATATTGAGGGTATTTTCGGTTTGTTTTATTTTGCTTTGTTTTGTATATTTGTTTGTATGATAAACATATTTATCTCTGATGACTTAATAATCATAATTTAATAGAATAATATCATTTAATAATACTAATTTAATTTTTTGTTATGTTTTTGCCTGGTTTCAGTATCAGGGTAAGAGTGGTATCAGAAAACAAATTTAGAAATGTCTGTCAGTTTTTCTTTCATGGAATAATCTGAGGACTGTTGTGAGCTCCTCTTTGAAGGTCGGGTAGAACTGTGCACTGAATCCTATTTGCCCCAGGCTTTTTTTAGTTAGAGGATTCTTAATTATCATTTCTACCTCATTAGATGTTAAGGTCTACTTAAATTATTTACTTTATTTTCATTTAACTTTGATAGGTCATATATATCTAGAGATTTGTTTTGGATTTTCAGGTTTGGGAGGACTACAGATTTTAAAAGTATGACTTTATGATTCTTTCAATTTCCTAGGTGTCCTCTGTAATGTTGCTCTTTTTATTCCTAATATTATTAATTTGGATACCACTTTCTATCTTTTAGCTAATTATGTTAAATGTTTATCAATCTTATTCATTTTCAAAGAACCAACTCTTTATCCATTAATTCTTTGTAATTTTTCATTTCTATTTCATTAACTTCAGTTTTGAGTTTGATTATTTCTTCCCGTCTGTTCTCAGTGTTATTTGCTTTTACTTTTTAGGCATTCAAGTATTATTAAGTTATTAATATGAAATCACTTCAGTTTCTTGATGTGGACACTTAGTGCTATAAACTTTACTCTTCCAGCTGCCTTCTCTCTGTCTCAAAGATTTTGGTATGCTTTGTTTTCATTTTCTTCCACATCAGGAGTGTGCAATTTCCTTATTGATTTCTTCCTTGATGGAGTTTTCACTCAGTAGTTTACTGTTTAGTCTCCATGAGTTTGTATACTCTGTGATAACTGTCAATATCCATCTTTATTACCTACATGGCCCAATGATATGCAGGATTTTATTTCAATTTCTATGTATTTACTGAGAATTTCTTTATGTCGTAATATGTGATCAGTTTTGGAGAAAATTCCACAGGCTGCTGAGGAGAAGGAATATTCTTTAGTGTTTGAGTGAAATGTTCTATAAATGTTTATTAGCGCTATGAGACTGATGATCTCATTTAACTTCAGATTTTCTCTTGATTTTATATGAATGACTGATATGAGAGGAGAGTATTACATCTGTATATTATCTCTATATTAAGGGAAATCTGTGATTTTGGAACTAGTGATGTTTCTTTTGTGAGATTAGTTATCTCGGAGTTTGTTGTGAGAATGTTTAGAGTTGTAGTATCTTCTTAGTGAAGTTTTCTTTTAATGAGTTTGGCACATCCGTCCTTATCTCTTCTGATGAGTTTTGTTTTGAAACCTTTGTTTCAAACATTAAAACAGCCACACCTGGTTTTTGCTTAGTTCTATTTGCTTGGAATGCCTCTTTCACATTTTACCCTAAGAAAAAGCCTGTCCTTGAAGTTGAGGTGTGTCTTAGATGCAGAAACAAAGGATGGAACTTGTTTATTAATTCAAATGTGTCAGTGTCTTTTTATTCAAAAAGTGACACCATTAACAAAGAGTTATTATTGAACAATGCTTATTAATTCCTGTTCTTTTGTTATTGTTTCCTAAGATCTACTTTGACTAACTGATCTGTTATTCCCTGTGCCCATTTGAGTGTGTTTCATCTTCTTTCAGACTGAAGTATCCTCTGTAAAGGTGGCCTAAGCATTATAATTTCTTCAAATGGTTTTTATTATGGAAAGTTTTTTCTCCTCCTATAACAACTGATACTTTTGCTGAATACAGTAATATGATCTGGGAAGGGTGGTCTTACAGAACTTGTGGTACATCAGATCAGGCCCATGAAAATAGGGAATTCCCAGGGCTAAATAGTTTTAGCAAGAGAGTCAGTCACCGTCTTTCATGAATGATTTTTTAAAGCTTATTACCTACACTGGAACAAACTGCAAGTGAAGAAATAAGTCATTTAATCATCACTTTTTAATCATCACTTAAAACATGATACAAGATTGCAAGGCCCTATTAATTAATTATTAGACTTTGATTATATATACACATTCCTAAAATTTTATATTAATTTATAATTTTTATAACCTTTTCTGTTTCTAATTACCTCACTGGCTACTTCAGAATGTTTGTCATATGTAGTCACTGGTTACTTCTTCTCTCCCAAACCCAAATGAAGAATATAATGCCTTAACAGCTGTTCAGAATTTGTATTTTATTTTTATTATATTTATTTATCTATTTATTTATTTTGGTGGGAAGAAGGCAGTGTACACTCCACAACACTATTGAAGAAGTCAGAGGAAAACCTATGAGAGTCACCTCCTCCTTCTACCATCTGTGTCTCTAAGGTTGAACTCGGGTTGTTAGCCTTAGAGGCAAGTGTCTTTACTTACTGAGATTGTTTATAAGCCCTGAAAGTTTTACTATAAACTTTAAAGTGTAAAGAACTTTCTATCAAGATGAGATGTGTTTTACATATCAACTTAACACATGAAATTACACTTTACAGTCATGTATCATATGATACCATTAAAAGTACAAAAGTCAGTAATATGACAAAGTATGATTTATTCTCAGGAGATTTAATCTACTGATCTAATAATCAACCATTTGTCATCATGATGAAATATTACCATCACAGAAAAAAACTCAGTAGCTCAACAAAAATATTGGAATTAATTTTTTGATGTATTATATAATCCAAGAAAGACAACTCTAGTCTGGTACAACACCTCAAGTGTCAGAGATACAACTCTCTGCCTTGCTTCTCTGTAGCCTATGGGCTAATTTCCAGGGCACCAGCCATTTTATGCTCATTCAAGCTAGAAAGCCATAGAAAGACAGCAACAACTGGTACAGATATGGCATGGCTTATAGTGCATTAGCTTGAATTAGTCACATGGCCACACTGAGCATTAATGAGAGCCATAGGTTGCATTTATTCTGAGTGGCTCTAATGTTGGGGACTATATAAAAGGAATGGGGACCCTTAACTGTCTTTTACTACTACTGTCCATTTACTGATTAATCTAACACTAAGACAATGTATCTTTAAAAATAAATACATAGATAAAATTTTAAAAGAGAAGAAACACTGGTAATTTCAGAAACCACAATGGCAAATACAGAACAAATCCAAGGTATCCATGCTGTTAGGAAACATCAGTGTTAGTACTGATTTTCTGAGTATATATTACTATCAGTAAATGAAGCTATTTGACCCTTAGTATGAAAATATTTTTTTCAAGGTACTTTTTGAGTATTCTGAAAATAGAGGCAATGTTTTACAGAGTGTTCACTTGTGTCTTCTGGAAAAGACCCAAAGCAAAATATTACTGTGCATATCAAAAATGGCTTCTTTGTGTGTCTCTACAGGAAAATTATTCAAAGAAGAAATTTTTGTATATACTGGCTTCTAACCAAGTTATTCCCCAAGTGCTGCATGGACTATACACACAAACAATGGCTATCTGTAAATTTTAATGTGTTTGAATTATTTCCTCAGAAGTTTAGAACATTAATTAATAAACTGTTGAATTTTCTGTCATCTGCCAACATGTCTCAAAACAACTGCACACTTAACAACTACTCTCAACTAAAAGCAGCCCATGTGTTAGCTTTACCAGGAGCAAAGTCAGACTTAGGAGAGGGTACTTGTGTAACTGGCCTGAAGCACTAGGTTTGGTCCTCAGTACTGCATAGGCTAGGACTAGTGACTAAGACCTTTAACCCCAACACTCTAGAGGACTAAAGGGATAGTAAATTCAAGTTCATCCTGGGACACACGAGAATTGTACCAGATTTAATAAAATTAAAAATAAAAACATGTGAAAAGATGAAAGAGGTAGGGTATGAAACCAGTTTGTCAAATTTGCTAAATTAGTTCACCAAAAAGATGACTTTTAAAGTAGTAGTAATAATAGAAAAGCTGCTTTTTGTAATGAAACATATTTATATAAAAATTGTAAAACTACTTGCCTAATGACTTCTAGCATGTATGATATTCTAAATTTTATTCAACTACATATTTTGAATATTTGCTGCTTTTGGAATTGCACATATGTTAATGTTTTTATCTATCTTCACACAGGTGGAGAAAATGTCTAATGGAGACAGTGAAACTATAGCTTCTTAAAAATCAGTTACACTGCTGATGAATCTTAAGTTGTCCCCAAGTAACAAGAAACAGGAAATCGTGTTCTTGAAAAAGTTTAGTTACATTCATCTCAGTTTTGATCTGACAGTGATGAACTGAGAGATGACAGGAAACAGGGTGATTAAGCACAGTTCTATAACATGATGCATCAATAATGTATAAACCCTACTCCCAAGTTAATTTTTTCAAAGCATGAAATGGGACTTAGACTTTGTCAGCTAGAGAATGAATTGTTTTTAGGGAGCAATGTTTATTGACACTAAGGTTTTTTTCCATGTAGGAGGAGCCTTTTGTAATGGTCTCTGAAAATGTCTTGGGAAAACCGAAGAAATACCAGGGCTTCTCCATTGATGTTTTGGATGCCCTATCTAACTACCTGGGTTTTAACTATGAAATTTATGTTGCACCGGACCACAAATATGGAAGCCCACAGGAAGACGGGACATGGAATGGACTGGTAGGAGAACTTGTTTTTAAGGTAAGAGTACATTTATCTTATACCCCAAACTTCAGCTGTAATCAATGAAAGCTATTTTCGTAGGATGGAGCTTGAGGGAAAATATTTGATTGTGGTATTTAGTCCAACAGATTCACCCAGTCCTACTTACTGGATGCTATGAAGAGAAAACTGTATAGTAAAATAAAATTTACATTTATCCATCTCCTCTAATAGAAAAGAACAATTGCAATCTTTGTTCTTCTTGTTGGCCTTCTACCTGTTGCATTCTGTCAGTTTCCTTAGGATTTTCTAATGTAGGTTGTTCTGAGGGTCAGTCAGTTGTTTGAGGGGGTGGAGCTTAGAGGTATATTTCTGCCTCATCTGGTTGCCTGTTCTATATCAAACTGTATCCTTTGACACATTAGCTGCTAACATTCTGTTAGAACTCTAGTGGTTTGTGAATTGAAGTGACTCCTCAATGACTATGTAGAATAACAGTGGTCCTAACCAGCTGCAGTACCCGTTCCCATCAGAAGATCACCCTCCAGTATCTGCTTACTTTTCAAGAATTAGTATGGAGTGAGAGGTAGACTGCACAAGATTGTGAGAAAACACAGAGGTGAGGGCATTACATTTTATATGCACAGACGCACATGCTTGAGAAGATACACACATATGAAGACATACATGCATGCATGCATACATACATACATACATATATTCTGATTAAGGAAAGAGATAAAAAGATAATGGAAGAGTAAGTATTCATATAGATTTGTTTGCATATATATATACATATATATGTATGTATATATATATATTTGAATATTATTAGGCAAGAGGGAAAAGAAAAGAGGAATTTAATATAGAAAAAGAAGTGTATAAAAGATAAACATCCCACAGAGATGAGGAGTTAGTTTGAGAAATGGTTTTGATGAGGGAAAGGTGTTGCTGTGTCTGAAATATACAGCTAAATGTTTGGGAGGTTGAGGCAAATTGCTTCAAATTTCTTAACAAAAATAAGTTATGCACTGTGCTGACAGTGATATTAATAGGCATTTTATAAGAATCTGTAGGAGCCTGAGGTGGGACACAACCTTAATACCAGCACTCAGAAGGCAAAGGAAGGAAGATCTCTGTGAGTATATGGCCAATCTAGACCACATAGTGAGTTCTAGATCAACTGAGGCTACACACTGAAACCCTATGTCTAAATAAATAAGTTCTTGGTGCTTAGGAAGGAACTGTGGTGTTTCATATTTTTCAGATTGTCCACAGGCCCATTGTCCTTCTGATGAGATTAGACATTAAAGCTATCATGTCTTGAATATACTAAGAAAACCAGAAAAATGCTATTCCCCTCTTTTCATACTCTTTTACCTCAAAATTCATTCCACTGGCAACCCAACAGCTTTGATTTGAAATATATAATAGCCATGGTTAGCAGTTACACATTTACTTAAAGGAATTTTATCGTTAGACAATCTTAAGGACTCTCTGAATCATAGTATCTGTTTATGTGGAAAACAGTCACTGTGGAGATTGACCAGAATAATCAATCCAGAAACAGGGAAGGAAACTACATTTGGTCTCATTAGCCAATACTGATAGATTGGTAAGCCTTTCCCAGGTGCTGTGCTTAAAACTATAATAAAATCAACATACATTTTGCAAGGTGATTCACAGGGTTTCCTAATAGATCAGATGAGGAGGTGGAAGAAAGGTCAAAGGCAAATCCTTTCATCTTATCTATCCAACCACAGTAGGAGAAAGACATTCTTTGCTACCATGTTTTCCTAGCTTTACTTGTAACTTCGCTCTAGCTGCGATCACCTATGCTGCACCTACAGAGGTTCAATTACTTTCCTTCTCATTCATCACTTGCTTCTTTACACATATATGTATACATACATAATCTTGCTGTTTCTCTTTGCTCTCCCCAAATAGTCTATTTCTGATCTTTCTCTCTCTCTTCCTCTCCCTCTCCCTCTCCTTCCCTCCCCTTCATTACTTTCTCTTCTATTTCCACATACTATATGTCTACATATATGTACATAAATCTAAATTCATCTTATTACATTTATTTACGTGCATGTATGTGTGTGTGCATGCGTGCACACGTCACAGGTAATACATATGTGCTACAGTACATGTGAGGAGGTCAAAAGACAACTTGAGGAAATCATTTTCGTCCTTATAATTCATGGGTCCTGGGGATTGAACTTATATTTTCAAGCTTGGTAACAAATGCCTTAATGCACCAGGCCAACTTACTGGCCGACTCTTCATATAGGAAGAATTTTCTCAAAGTGTTTTATTTATATTCATCAAAAGATCTCCAGTTCCATCCATTTTCTTCAAAATGCCATTTATTTCATCCATCTTCATGACTAAATAAAATTCTATTGTACATGTGCAGTTCATTTTCTCCATGGTGTCATGTGGTATCGAACATCATTTTCTATCATAGTCATTGTGAATATTGCAGAGAAAAGTATCAATACAGTGGTGGTCTTAATGAGCTAGGCACTTCTCTGGTGAAAGATATAGCATGGTGTTTCAGTTAGCTTGGAGAATATAAAATTTTAAAATTTCTGAATAATTTTTCCTACCAACTTGCCTTCTGATCTCTTTTTCTCTTATTCACTGTAATCCAGGCTATAGTCTTTAATTGTCCCCATCTTAGTAAAATCTACTCCTGCATCCATCTGTTTTCTCAGAATTCTCTTTGTGCAGTCCGTTTCTTGCATCTTATTTGTTTTTCAGTGTCTGTTTAAGTAGTCCACAGAAGCTTCCCACGGTCACTGGATTCAAGAGAGCAACATTTATGCTGTGCGTTCTCTTCTACCCTTTCTGTTTTGTTGTTCTTTTAAAATACATGTAAAAAGCTTTCAAACTTATCTACCTGATCATTATAGTACCTCAAATTAAGTTGTAAGGCAATTTGAGATTTCTTCAGGTATTGTTAAAGTTTAAATATTTAAAAAATGAATTAAGTGATGTCATCATACTGCATTAGGTGACACATTATCCTGATTAGGTCTCAGTAATTTTTTTTAAATTTTCTAACAACCCTCTGCTAACTTTTACTTTATGTCTAAAATCTTCCCATTTTTATGGCAAGGCTAAATGTTTTTGGCTTTTTCTCCTAGTATTTTAGGCATTTAGCATATTCGATTCTGTCACTCTCACCTCCCTGAAATTGACTTGAGAGTGATAATCCTGACTAGTATAGGGAAAAATAGGGAAGGAAACACTAACAAGAGTATTCAGAATGTTAAGTAAAGACTAACCTTTTACAGACGAGTTTCAGTAGACACATAGAAAGCCAAGTATCGGTCAACCTTTTATGAATGTTGATATCTGAAGTCCTCATAATGATTCTATAAAATAGAAATAACCACTCTTCCTATGATATGAATAAAAATGAACACAGCAATAAGAGTTTTAGAAGCTTGGTCAAAGTCAAACAGCTAATAAGAGAACTAGAGTCTGAGCCAGTAGTTGGCTCTAGAGCTGTGGATTGTCCTCCTCTGAGCCATCCAAACAGAAAGTGAAATAAGTAATTTGATATGAGTCTGAAGTTCAGACATGGGATCTGGAATGGACATACATTTGAGGCTCATCAGCATATAGATGGAATTTAAATTGCCCCTCTCCCTTTCTTTGCCCCATTTCTCTTCTATCTTCAATCTTCTCCAAATCTTTGCTCCTTCCCACTGCTTGGAAAGACATTCTCATCTCAAATATAACCTTTCTATATTTTCTAAGTTAAATTAATTAGGTGTCTTTGGTTGCAAATGACAATCCAATTGAAGTGAAAAGATAATTTAATGGCTCACAAAGCTAAGCTGCCAGGGACAAGATCCAGACACATTTCATCAGGCCGTGGACTTGCTTTCTCTTTTGCAGCTCTGCTTCCTTGATGTGGTCCTGGTTCTCAGGCAGTCTCTCCTATCTTGGCAGGAAGGTGACTTTCAGCAGCTCCAGGCTTAGGTTTCAACCTCTCATCTATCCAATATAAACATTAGCGTTTTTTTTGCCAATAGCTCTGATTCAGAACCTGAGCCTGAATACACACTGGCTCTGACCATAAACCATTATGTCCAAAAGGAGGCACTGTTCCCAGTCTCAGACAAATACATCATTCCTGTATCTACCACCAAGATAGGCACTGCTGAGTGGCTCCATATAAAACATCTTGACTAAACATATGCAGTGGCTGCCCAATATAAAAATTGTCCAACTGGAGGTAGGGGAAATGGTTAAAAAGCAAAATATTGTCCATTTTTATGTGCAAGGATAATTATCACAATTATAAAGAAATTACTAACAGTTACACATACAGAAAATATTATATTAAAAGTCATAATGAACACATTAATTAAGTTACAAGCAATAGGTTGTGAAATGTTTATTCGTCCATGATGAAGATCTGTCAGTGTCGACACTTGACAGGTTTATGAAGTGGTTGTAAGATTCGTAATAAAGTTTTAAACAATGAAAAATAAAATGGAAATAAATAGAATGACATCACAATCTCCAAAGAAACACCTGATGGTCAGGATGGCCAAAAGGAAATCTACTGCAATGGAGTAGGCCATTTAATAACACAACAGCACAGTAGGAGATGGAATATGATTGATTTTACAAAGAAAAGGAACAACTTGTATTACACCTTTAGTTAGAGTTACTTTCTGTTCTGCATATCATTATATAAAATGCCACTTGATTGAAAGACACATATTTCAGTTCACATTTGTGACATAGCTGGCAATCCAGAAAAATTTAAAAAACAATTTGGAAGTGACTATGGGGTAATTACTTGCACGCCTCTAGAACTGACTCTCCCTAACACAATGCTTTGCAGTTTATATTTGTTTACATTTGTTACTCACAAGAGAAGGGATAATTGCGGCCTTAATGCTACAGGTAACAAAATGAAGCAAAAGAGCTTTAAGTGGCCGCCTGGCCACATTGTTTTAAATGCAGACAGTCTGTTTTCAGAGTCCAAGTGCTAATTTTATCTTCTTATCAGT